TTCAAAATTGATGCTTGCAACAATTCTTTACCAAGAAATACGTTTATGGTAAAATTTTGGAAAATGGGCGTGGCACCGCCCACTTATGATCACATATAAGTATATCGGTAACCGTTCTACCAATTTGTACCAAACTCGGTATGGTTATTGTACTTGCCACGTGTAAGCAAAACGTTTAAAATTATTGAAATCGGACTAAAATCACGGCCGATTCTCATACAACGGTATAATTTAAGAAATGCTTTAAACTTCAATATTTCGAAATTGAAGGACGCTAATTTACCCAAAATTGATACACCTCGGCTTACCATCTGGCGGTAGCTTTCGGAAAGGTGAAAAAACATATATTTAATACTTGCGCCGGGTATTTAATGTTCGGCTCCGCCCGAACTTAGACTTTCTTACTTGTTTTTGTTTTGTCTTTTTCTGTTATATGCTGTTTTTTTTTGATTCCTGCCAGCCTCAAACCAATTTGTGGCTAGCCCGGAGTCCGACTCACTCATGTTTAACACCCCGTCCAATGCCGGGGTGTCCTCCATTTTATTGAAAAAAGGAACGCACTAATATGTGTACTTTTCTTTTCTCTTCCACTGTGTAAAAATAGTTAACAAAGCTATGAAATGACTCACCACTTTATCCACTTTGACCACGATGGAGCACTACTACGCGCTAGGCTTACACTTGCTTTTCGTAATGAAAATATAACCCACAAAATTGCTTTACACAAATATGCAAAAGACTTTATTACACACACACGAATTGAAGCACAAATGTACGGCGAATTGAACCTCCACCCTCGGCTGCTGCTGTTGAAGTGCTATCGTTTTCTTTGCAGGCTGTAGGTGTGTTCTTGGTTTAGTAAATTTTTAAGACATCGTATTTCTACTTGAAGAAGAAATTGTAGTGGAAATGGCAGAAATTGAATTAGATTATAGAGAAAGCTAATAATCAGGTGATTTCAGAAGAAGGGGTTACTGAAAAGCAGCTGATAGTGTTTTTATTGATGCTGCCACATAAGGGAGAGTCTTACAATTATCCGCCGCTTTCGAACGGAAAATACATATGTCGTAATTGGCATATTTTAAATATATTTTAAATACATATAATTAAAGAAAAATACTGGTTTTCTTTTTTTCCATTTAGAAGAATCCAAGGAGGATCTTTATCCTTTCAGAATTTTTTATTTCGATCAAATATGTCTTCGCTGTAGTCAGGCCTTTCGTTTTTCGTCATTTTAGGTTTCGGTATATCGTACGGATCCCGGGTTCGCTGCCTGGTCCGACCACCAACGGTAATACTGGTCGCCCCTCGACAGCAATTCCAAACTTCCAGTTGTATTTCTGCCATGACAAAACTACTCATAAAGAACTACATACATACATATGTACATGCCGGCGGATAATTGTAAGTCTTCCCCCTTATGTGACAACATCAAGCACTAAGCAACTAATTTTTCGAAAACCCTTCATCTGGAATCACCGGATTTTTAGCATTCCCGTTAATCTGTTACGATTTCTGCCGTTTCTATAACAATCTGTTCTTGAAGTAGAAATGCAATTTCTTAAAAATAATAGAAAAAATCCAACAAAAACGAACATTCGGAAATGTATCATATTTTTCGAATAGCGGAATGACGAAAAAAAAAAATCATCAGTGCACCCTGTGGACGCGTTTCTTTCCAAACCCATGACAGAAACTTGTAGTGTTTGCGTTTTTGCGGCAGATAGCGCTCTTCGCGACTTCCATGCATTACGAGAGGAAACCAATTGTACGACGGATGGAGTACAATGAGATACGGAAATGTATGTATGCGTTGAGTGCTTGAAAAATTTCTTCCAGTTAGATCTTTCCCGTCGAATCGACAACGCGTAAATTTCGTAGTGTTAAGTGAAAATCTTTAATTTATTGATAAAACCGAATTAAAGGTTAAAAGAAATGTGAATTTAAGGTTAAATGAAGTGCGCAATCTATCAAATGTTGGTGTAGAGTGCAAAAAGCTTGTTTTAAAAAGTAAAAGGCAACCTGTTGCCCACAATGAAAGCAGCCGGTGAAAGCGTAAATCAGGCATGCACAGCGCTGTCGTTAATCCACGCCGGTGGTGTTTCATGTCTATCTGCATACATATGTTCGTATGTATATAAATGTGTGAAAATATCGGTTGCATTTATGCATTCAATAATATTTGCATATATAGTGTAATAATCGTATGTAAAACGTGCTGGAGAGAAAAAATGTGCTGCAATTTTATAATCTCGTCGGTAGTTTGTGTAAATCGTTTTCGGGTTTTCAAGCGCCGTTTGATGTAGTGTGTTCGGTCGTTCGTACAGAGTTCGGTTAATCGCGTCAGTAATGTGAAAAAATTGTATCGCACAAAATTGTGTTAACAAAATTGGTCAATATGGCGGTTTTCGCAAACACATTGAAAGGTGAGTGAGTACCTTAGTATTCTTTGTTAAGAAATTATTATTAACTGTTGTGCAGGCTCAGATTATTTGTATTCCTTAATCATCATTTTTAATCGGTTTAATTTAGCTTGCCCTGTTGGGGTCAAATCTAGTAAGTACAAAAAAATTAGGATTTTAAAGAATCTGAATCGGCAAACCGACTTCGAAAAGATATACCGAATCCTTATCAAGGTCTTAGCCATATTTTGCTGCCAAAAGTCGTTTATAATAATTCATACTACACGACGAAGCCAGCGGGGTTAATTGTTCTTTTGCAGTGGAACTGGAAAATCAGCATGCAATACGATCCTGGGCAGAACTTTCCCTTCGCTTTTGAGAACAATTAATTTTACTCAAAGCATATTAATTTTTCCAGGAATTTTTTTTTTAATTACATAAATTTCCCCTATCAGTGTTAGCAATGATTCGTGATATATAGAATGTACAAAGATTACCGGTTAAATAAAAACCCTTGGGTGCGAAATAAACTGCCGAAGGTTTTCATTATATTTTACGAGGAACATTTTGATTTTTTCATATTATCTGTTTAAAAATTGACCCCTGAAAAATCCAGAGCTCATTTAAAGGGCAGTTAAGAAATAAAGGAGAAAAGGCGTCCTTTATTTTGAAAAAAAAATTTATTTTGAAATAAAAATAAATAAAATAAAGGACTGTCCTTTAAAATAGAGGACGGGTGGTCACCGTATGTAAGCGGCAATATATTATTATTATTATTATTAGAAGAACATAACGTAAAAACAAAAATTTTTAGAGTAGAAATTGTAGCCGCTATGATTTTCCTTCCTCTAAACCGCCTAAATTAAGCACTTTGCGTCGTTCTTTAGTAAAGTATTTATTTGAAGGAAATTTGTCTTTAAAGACTTTGGGGTACAATACGCGAATTTCGTAGTTATTTATGCGTAATCAACACAACTATCTAGAAATAATTGAGCAGGAAAAATTTTAACTTTAAATAATTCTCCTTTATTAATTCTTCATTTATATTTACAAACATAAATATGTATCTTTTATGGCATATATTAGTTCAATTTTCATAATAATAAGTACTTTATTATTTTATATTAATTTTTAAATACAAACATCTGTTTAAATACATTTGCATGGAATGTACATGTGTATAAGTACTAAAGGTACTGCTGAAATTTTTTTCGAAATCGTTTTCTTGCATTTTTAAGTAACTTCGATTTAAACATACATATTTCTTTACATATTTTACAGCCGGAAATTTAAAAGTGATTTTATGACACTTTTCAAAAAGCTCTTCACACAGAATTACATATGTATATCGACGGCTGAGTGGAAGATCTCAGAAATTGAATCAACAACACCCTATTTCAGAATTTCATAGAAAACCGCCTATTTTTTTTCTAGTGTCTATTAGAGCATAACTACATTTCAACAATGATTTACGTGTGTTTAATAAACTAAAATTCGAAAGAAGTAAAAGTACGCCATGGATTAATTTGACTCTCCAAATTGTACGAAATTTCAAAAAAAGTTCAGAACATTCAAGGTTTGTATGTTACGAAATAGAAAGCTGATGAGCTTTAGAAGAGACTTGTCGGGCACGATTTTAAAAGTTTTATTTGTTTCAATCGAAAACGAAAAAAATGCACAGAAAAAAAATTGAAATGTTAAAAAAAAATTTGCACCAGAACTAAACATTTTTTGTTGAATTTTTTAGGTATCTAGTTTTGTAGCATATTCCATTTGAGTACAATAAAGAGCAATTTACAAGTTGTTAAGGAATCGCGCTGATTTTCAATAATTCTCTTTGTTACCGTTTCAATAAAAATTTTTTGATTTCAAATATTTTCAAAGGCTAAAAATTTACTTTGCATAATTCATCATTCCATCAAAAGGTATTTAAGAAAGTGCGATTGAATTGCACGTTGCTCTTATAAGAACCATCCTAAAATGTCAAATTGAAAAAAAAAAAATTTTTATTAATTTAGATCGTTTGTTTTTATTTTTTGACATTATAGTACCTTAAAAGAGAGCCGCACTGAGTTGTCAATCACACCTTGTTTAATACACCTAACACTCAACTATGCTCTCAGTGAGACAACAATAATTAAAGTTGAAAAAAATTTTGATTCTCATTTCTCAAACCAGGTGGCAAGCGTTTTACGCAATGCTATATCTTATTTTAATAATACCAATGCATATGCAATTAATAATACGTACTCTCAACTTAAACTTTACTTATAGCTATGACTAAATTAGCAGGCAACATTTACCGTATTTATATTTATTTTAAGTATATTTTTATATACAATACATACAAGTAAGTGTGTATGCAATTACACATTTGTTTGTTAGGGTGCTCCTTAAAATGTCAACATCTAAACTTTGTTCTACGT